ATGTTTGCAGCATGTGTAACTCAGCTCACCATTCGTTAAAGCGAAAAATTATCAGTTTGGCATCTTGCTGTTGTGTTTGAAATCTCTACACCATGCGACAGGACCTTCTGGCAGTCCTTAAATAGGGGTCCCGTCTTAATTTTTACGAAGGACCCAGGTCCCTCTGTAACGTCACTAAGCAAGGCACTATGTTTCTGAGAAAATCCTGTTCGCAAATTAGAAGCAAACTTTGCATGTGCAACACGCTTTATAAAGTAATTTATTGTCAGAAAGACATTTTAAAGCATTGAAAGACAACTTTCGTACAGTTTTTACTTTCTTGCTAAATTTTGATCAATCATCTTAAATTGTCTTTAGGAAGGAAAAAAGAACGGTTTATTTCCTTTTGCAGCAAGAGCTATCACGCAAACAGGTACGTCATTTTTTGCCGAATTTGTTTTAGGTATCAATTGCAAGTTTTATTTTAAACTTTCTAGTAGTGATGTAACTATTAATGTGCATTCCAGTTGGGTATCGGCTCCTTGAAGCCGTATAAAGAGAAAGTTTCAAGTTGATTTTTTAGAAAACCATCTAAAAGTCAGCTAAAGTTTTCCATTGCAGCTTCGGTAATTTTGATAGCGAATATTACTTAGGATTTGAGTCTGATGCAAACTTCCTGTTACCAGTTCCTGTTAATAATTTCTAGCATCCATCTTGACCTATTGTATAAATGTTTTGATTAGCAGCAAGCCCAAAAATGTTGAAAACAAGACATTCGTTGATAAACTATCGACTTTTGTTAGGCCGGGGATTTCTTAAAACATAACTGCCTTATTTTCAACTGCTCTCCTTTTATGTTATTAGAAAACTGTTCTTCCTTAGTAAAACCATTCTCTTTGAGAGAGAAAATTACTGAAAAATGTTTTGTATCCTCAAAGGGACATGGGTGACGAATTAGAATTGGAAACCTTAATAATGTCGCTTTTATTTTGAATAATATCAACCATTTTCTCTCTAAATTACTCATTATATAACTAATGTGTTTGTCTTTCATTATCTCAGTCAAAACGATCGAACTTTGCAAAGACACCTGGAGATGAAGCATCAGAACAAAGTTTTGAAGCTCTTCTTAAATATTGTGAAGAAGTCCAGTGAGTTTAAAGCATATTTTATGAGATTTTTAATCCATGATAAGTGGTCTAAAAATATTTTTGACGACCCTGCAAGAATAGACGTTTTAGAGAATATACTAGGAGAAAACGTGAGGGGCTATGTGGTCCGGGCTGGGCTCGATTCCGCAACCAGCAACACTAAACATTACTGTTATACGAACAGAGCTAACCAGTAATGTTTCCATATCTAAGCCAAAAGTTGGGCTACTCACTTGCCCCATCTTCCTCTTTACCAAACATACAGGGGAGGTATCCGTCGAATGAATTTTAAACTCAGCCTTTTCCACGCTCTTCCTTCATCTCTTCCCTATAAATGTATGATCCCATTTATATTTCAGCACACCCTAGTGGATGTGACAATAAATAGTTTTTTTGTTCTTCTTTTCAACATTTTTATCAAATATTTATGCTCAGAAGAGTATCAAGATAATTATGGCTAATTTGCATAGACCTGTCTTGCTGTTTTTTCGGCTGAAATGTAGAACTTTTCACAACTTTAATTGGAGTTCTATCTCGTCTTTCTTTTAGTTGCCGACATGCTAGTATTGCGTCCTATTTTGGCGATGATCGTCCAAAGGTAGCATTCATTTCAAAATATAACTTCATTTGCTGTGATATGTAATAGATTAGATATGCCTTGAAAACATTTATGATTGATACCAAATGCCCTTGAAGCATACATAACTTCTTGTTGTTCAATTTATAGCGTTGTGAAGAAAAATCTGCGACAAAATAAGCTTACTGCTCCAAGGTCTTTGGGAGAGAAATACCTTTTGGAGATATGTGTCAGTTTTTTATGGAACATAATGTTCCCATATAGCAGAAGAAGTATACAAATTTCAAAAGGGAAATATGCTTTGAAGTGGCCTAGCAAATCAGAATTAACGTATTAACAAACGGCATATTGTACTTGCAAGAAAATGTAATAGATATAGGTATCATTAGTCATTAAGAAATCGCGTTTTTATCTTTTCCATGTGTCAATTGTCACTATTTTTAAATGGTTACTGGTGATGAACGAATCTTCGTCTGTACTTTTCCAGTGTCATAAAGGATGTGATGTTTGCAGATCTAAGGTGAAAGTTCAGGCAATGGTCGGAAAATTTGAACAATATTATAGCTTTCCAAGTGGAACATCTATCGCCCCTGCAAAGGCTGAAGGTGGGAACGAATTATACGGTGGTGGACGCCAAGGTGCGAAAGCAATGTAAGACATGTCATTTGTTCTAGAAGAATGCAAGTAAATAAAAGAACCGATTAATCAAAAAACTTTCATATTTTTCCAAAGTTTTTGGTATTTTCAATTTTATTTTTTACTATTGCTGATTTGCATTTTAACAAAATCCTTTCGCAGCCTGTCATGCCTTTCACGATTGATTTTATCCCCTCTTATCGCTAAGGGAACAGGAATACGAGAAACCAGAACCTGTCGAGGACAAGAATGAATTGAAGAATGTCATTAGGTCAGAGTTCAAGAAAAGGAAGGTAATCGCTTTAAGTATAATATGCTACCTCAGAGTAGACAAGTTGTCTCAGAGTTCAGAAAACATCACTGTCCCGTGGCTGTAAGCCGGAGCATGGCTACCTACGATACAGTAGTTTTGAGGAAGTCCAATGCATGGCCAGACAAGGATATATAGGGCGAGAGGAATTTTACTATTTTGCTTGAACCTTTTTCTTTTTAAAGAGCAAAAAGACCAACCTGTATGATTTGGATGAATTGACTTAATGTCCATTTCGAAGAAAACCTCTGTTCGAAAGATACAAGAAGAATTTTGAGAAAGGCGAATAAGGTCAAACATCACCCGGATGAGGGTTGATGCATTGTTTGAACTTTGATTCTCATTTTGAACCTCCTTTTAAAGTGTCTTATCCAAGCATGATCATTATCAACTCAAACATCATCGTCTTAGTTGTTTCCGTCATTTGGAATCTTGCCGATTATTCTTGCAACAGATACAGAAAGCTTTTTTGTTGTTCTTAGAATTTTTGTTATGTGATTTTCCTTCATTTCCTTTTAAGACTACTGCAGGATTCGAAGAATTGGGCAAATCGAGATCAAAAGCTTTGCAAATGGAACGCCAAGGTAGTGGAAATGGAATTTTTGAATAGTTTTATTTATTTGTTTATTTCTCTTAAAGTGCAAACAAAAAAGCAATGCTAATTGGTAGAGGGAAATGGTTTTTAGCCACATGGAGAGGTCCCATTTGAGCTGCATGAAGATGTCTCTGTTAGCTACATGGAGACGTATCATTTTAGCTACATTGAGACGTATTTTTCTAGCTACAAAGCAAATAGCTGTAGCGTACAATAGCTGAATTTATCAAATATCTACTCTTTTAGCCAAATCTTCCAAGGTACGCAGTGCTAACAATTTCAAGAAGATTCCAAAGCTGAAGTTGGAGGTGAGATAAAGATACATCCCTGCATAGAAGAAACTAAGAATTTAGGAATATATAGGCTTTTTTCCTGACTACGAGTTTAAGGGCCTGACAAATTTTATTTTAGGGCACAGTCCCCTGAACTGTCACGAGGGATTCCTATCCCTAAGATCATCATCAAATACACCTTTTAGATAAGAAACAAATGTAAGAACTTTTGACCATAGATAGTTCCTTGAAACATAGCCAAAAAAGTCTGAATCCTGAAAAGTAGGTTTTTTGCAGGGTTTGCGTAAACGTTGCTTGAGTCTCTTCGTGTTCTTCGTATGGTATACCTTCGTATGAACAATAATTCTTTTTTACATTTATTGTGTATTGTATGTTGTAAAAAAGATTGTGTGGAATAATTATTATGGTCACAGATTATGGTAAAAGAGCTTCTAGATATTTTCCATTTCCTATCGTTCATAGGTTAGAGAACATTCTCTCAAAATGCTCGAAGATCTGCTCAAAGCCAACTATGCAGACTGTGTTGGAAGGTAATTGCTTAGGCCGATCTCTTTCCCGCACTCGTCGATGACATTATCCCATAAGTATTGGATTGTATTGAGCATTTTGTAAAAAATTAACCACGCTACCTTTTAGCTTAAAGAATTTGTGAATTTAAAAATCTAAGAATTAATGCCTATGTATTTGTTTTGATGAATTTTTTTCTCGATGGACTTTTTTGCATAGGGAATGCCACTAGTTCTATATCGGCTCGTGATTTGGTTGCCGATCATCAGTACCTGAAATGAACTAACATTTTTAGGGACTTGTGTTCTATTGATCTTAGTTTCATCTTCAAAAAAATCCAATTTCGCTTAAAATTCTATATCATTGCATTTGCAGTGGTAACGCTATGGCAGAAGAAGTTGCTGTTGAATTGGAGTATCAAGCCTTCGATTCAAGCAAACTGCCAAACGCTTACAGAATGAAAATTCACAACAAGGTCATTCTATAATCGTTTATCAAGTTATTGTAACAACGTTGTTGTCGTGTTCCCATTGTGTTCCACTATTGCAAAGAAGGAAACGAATTTGCTAGGCTCACGTGTTCATTATAACTAGCCCGTGTTAGCAAAAATGAAACGTTTAGAGATTGATAAAAAACTGAGATATCTTGTGTAGAATGCATAAGAAGGTAGCCAAATTTTAAACTCTATCGACATCTCTTGAAGTTAAATTGTCGCTTTGTACATTTGCAAAATAACCCGTGCGTATGCTCGATTAAATATGTATTTTTTGCAATAGATGATGGATATTAAGTTATTAACGACGAACAAACATGTATTTCCTATACCAGAGGAGTGCTCTGAATCTCTATCGAAGCGGACTCCGGTAAGCAATTTTTTGTTTTGGAAAGTAATCGTTCTTCATTTTTCTGGCCTGACATTTATCAAGCTCTGTTGATACCCTGTGATAAAACTCTTTTCTGAAAGCAAACTGTTTTTGAATTTTGTCACTACCTAGCTGCCAAAGTGTGTTTTAGGATTTTGGTCCTTAATGATGATGTTACCCCACATCGTAATTCCTACGCCTGGGATGGCAGCGACTCCTTTCACCCTAAGTAAATGTTTGGTTATGACCCGAAAAACAAGCTCTTGGCCTGTAGTCTACGATCCTAGCCACTGAGCAACAATGATCATAGGGCATTCTTTGATACACTCGGATGTTTTTCAATAAATCAATTTTCTAGTAAAATCAGGATACATTTGTTGTTCTTAGATGAAAGACGGAGATGAAGACATGGCCACTGATACATGGAGTAATACGATAGTGTCTAGTGCGTTTCAAACTGCTTCTCAGCTCATAAATGTTAGTACCATTGATTGTAGTCAAGTTTTATTGTGGTCAAGAATCTCCCAACTCTTTGAAGGAATTTTAAATCCCACTGCAAAATGTCTGAGCTGTTTAAGTATGACATAAGAATCAATTGGAACCTTTTGACGTATATCCATTTGCCCGTCAGAATTGGACATATATAGCACATCTCTCTGAAGGATTTTATAGACTTCATGGTCTCCAATACGTTTGAGCAAATTATCGCTTCAGTTTTAACAATCAGTATATATTCACGGTTTGTCGAACTCATTTTCGAACCCAATACGGCTGGTGCAGTCGCTAGCATTTTTAGTTGAAATAAGTGCACAGGTTTTGTGCAACATGAGACATGAGTGTGTAGATGTTCTATACAATGTTTCTAAAAGATTTTCTACACATTGCATTTATTTCCTACTATTTGCAGGTAAATGAGAGTGAAAAAGGAAAAGACTCCAGCAGTGAAAGGTATGTAGATCATGATAATATTCATATAACAATTATTTTCTAGTTTACGAAAGGTCAAATCTTGCTAAAGAATTTTATAACAAACGATTGAAACCGTCTTAGATTTACTCACCTCGACATCAATGAATTCGTAGTGGAGTTGAACAGGCAGCAAAAAACAATGAACACCCTGGAACAAAATATACGATGGAGTTTTTAATAATCTACCGAATTTGGCGAAGATGATTTATTGTAGATTTTTCTCACCGTTTCAGTGGAGCAGCTTATTTGAACCTTTTTTATTGCTTTCAGCCTACTCGTTTTTCAGGACTTATTTCTTTCAATTTTCTCAAGGTATTGTTTGTGTATTTATTGCAAATTTTGGTCTGTAACTGAAAAACTTTTACCAAATCCTCTTGCCCAGCAATACTGGAGATGCGACAACAAATGAAGTGAATCGAAAGCGAAAAGAAGAGAACAAGCCGGTAAACAATTTATAATAATATGTCGATTCTCAACAGTGGAAACAGTTTAAGAAACTCCTGTCGCATCATAAGCCCCTTCTCTAATTTCCTAAGATCTAAGGTCGGAAAGTCAACAAGCCAATTGTAAATCATTGAATGTTACTATATTTTGACACTATTCCTTTTTAAATTTGATTTGGTTGATCAGCCTTAGAATACAGAACAAAATAATTCCAAAATTTTGAAATCATGGGAAAGAGTTTAAGGACAGAGAAAATCAAACAAATGTTTTTTCATTCCACGGAAAATACTGTTCCAAAAAAAATTACAAGATTGGTCTTAAACAAATTGGATACCAGAACCTGTAACAATAAACTTGCAGCGGTATGGATTGGGTTTATTAGTTAAAGATGCAATAAAAAAGTTTCAGTTTTTATCAGAAAAATGCGCAAATCCTTTCTCTAAAATGAATATATAAGTAAGAAATTTGTTCCATTCAGGAATGAGGTAGTCAGAAGGGTCCCAAGAGTCTTAAGGTGTTTTACTGCTGGACAAATTATTTACTACGTTGATCTTTTGCTAAAAATATTGTCCTTTAAGCCAAGCCTTTACTTTAATAGAAGTTCCTGCTTTTTTAACAATTATATGAGTAGCACTACTGTAAATTTTGATAGATTGTTATAGATTTCGAATTTAATTTGTATTTCACCGTGATGAATTTTCGAATGATGATTTATATTTCACAGATTATATAAGCATCAAGATGTTAAAAAAATTACTGCCTTGCTCTTTAGGAAACGGTTCTTCGTCCGAGCAAGAAGCTTAAAGAAATTAATGATGACTGTGATGTTGAAACAAAAAATAACGGTAATGTATCCGACGAAACTAGTAAAGATATTTTTGCCAAAGATCCAACTGTTTCCCACAATCCACCCAACACTGGAACGGTGACAATAACTGGCGTATGTACCACATCGGTTACCCCGGCCCCAGTTGAAAAGGAGTGTATTGTTCTCTCTGACAATGAAGAGCAACGACGTGATTTTGCTGACTCAAATGATGGCTGCAATTCTAGACATGATATTTCTTGTAATAAGAAGGATAACTTAAAGGATAAGGAGAGAGAAACGGAGAAACATCGGTTCTTAAACGGGATGGATAAGCACAGGTCGAATATTCGAGCTGAAAATCACACCGTGTTTGCAATTAGCCCCAAAACCAATGATATAGCAGCAGAGTATAAAAGTAGAAAAACAGAAAAATGCAAAGGTTTTCTTAGTTCATCAAGCTCCAATGATCAGAAAGACATTTCCGGCACCTTATTGATGACTGATAGAGAATTAAACAAGGGAGCTGCCGCAGATAACGACTCTAGCTCATATAGTGACATGAAATCTCTTCGTAAAACATTCTCAGGGAATAAAAAGTACCTCAATGATGCATTAGAACCGAGCCTTATTTCAAGAGAAACCAAAAGCCAAGTTTCCAGTTCTTCAGCTAGGTCAGAATCCGACGGCTATGTGCCAGAATTTGCTGCTTCGAAGCAGCTGTTTTCTACCACTGAGAAGGCCAGCTCTGAAAATCAAGATGGGGTTTCTAGTCACTCGGTACGTACTAAGAAAATGGTTCCATTTATAGATCTGGAGTCGGGAGAAGAAAGAGTCCCAGATGCAGAAAAGGTTGTAATGATCGAAGATTCTGGAAAAAATGAAAGAAATGAAGAAGATACGCGTAAATCTAGACAAACAACTGATGTTAGTGAAAGAAAAGTGGAAAACAATGGCGGAGAATATTTCAATGAAAGGAAACGCGACGGAAGACAAAATAAGATAAAAAATATTTCTACGCTTGTTGTAACCAGCCTTTCAAAGTATTACAAAAGAAGGATACTTGAAAAGGTATTTGAACTCTGTTTTATTTTTACTCCTTATCATTTTAATGAATAATTGTAGGGCGTGAAATAAACTGATAAAAGTAAAGCTGTCGTTTCTGTTATGGGGACAAAAATCATCTAGACAGTTTGAAAAGCTTTACAGATTAGCATATATGCGATATGAATTTCGTTCATAAGGCCTTTGCCATTCAGTTTTTTTGGATAAATGCCTTACTATAAGATTAAAAGGCACAAAAGTACCTAAGCGAACTTTACCAATTTTCATAAATCTTATTAGTGAGATGAAGCTGTTCAATCTTGAAGTATTTTCCCTTATAACTCCAATACTAAGTGTTGCTTGATAACCTAATTTATGTAAAGTGGTTGTAAAGTAAGTCTTGTTGTCAGATCTCCAACCAACTCTCCGAATAATCAAACTTATGAAACGATCTCCGTTCTAAAGTAATTATGCAATAACCTTTCTTCTAAAATCAACGTAAAGTATATTTCTTTTTCAGGACCTTTTCAAGTCTCTAGCTAAATCAATATCGAAGAAAGTTCTCCAAGAGCAGCCTGTTTCTTGTATGTGAATTTACCATTCTTGTGTTTTATTATCATGCTGTGTTTGTATATGCAGATTTTTAGTATACACAAACTTGAATACCTCCAAAAATCAATGCATGTTTGGTTAATTAAGTTTTTTCTGATCAGGGCCGTCGAGAATTAGCTCGGGTCCTTCAGTCTCCCGGAGAACAAGGGAACCGCCCTTTTTAGGTACGATTGTTGACTAAGTTTTTTAAGGATTTTTACAAAAACATTTTGTATGAATCAAGGACATGTGGACATTACTCTGCGATAAACCTACAGGCGTTAATTCCGTATAAGTAGCTGAATATTTTATTACTGGCCCATCGGAGCCCGGGCCCCGGACCTTTTGCCCCTCCAAACCCCCTCTCGACGCCCCTGATTCTGATCGCCTTGTAGCTTGGCTACTGTAATCATGCTGCTTTTTTAGTTACTTGAAAAAAAGCGAGGCTCGTACTTGAAAGGGGGACGTATCTTGACGCCGGCAATAGCAAACAAAGCTCCTGAAATAAGATGGCTCCTATAAGACTAAAATTTGACAGCTGACACCAAATGGCTTTTTAAGTTGTTATGATCAAATAAGTACTTGCGAAAGAATTTCAAGTGTACCTTATAGATTTACTTGTACTTGCAAAACAAAGTCGGTGTACATCAAAGCTAAATTTACCCGTATGCTTTGTTTTGATTCATATTTAAGTTCAGAATTAACGTCAACGCCCCTTGGAAATAAACTTAAACTGGATTAATTTATATCACCTTCGTCTTTTGCAAAATACCCATTGGAAATGCCCATAAAGCTGGGTATAAGATCTCTTTTAGCAATTTCATTTACGTCCGCAGATTATGAGGTTTAAATTGTATTTAAAACTTTGAGTTATGTACGTCTCATCGAATCAAATTTGATAGCATTTTGAAAGAATATTCTATTCCAAATGCTCTATTCCAAAACTTGGAAAAGATAAAGGGTGGAGTGTTTGCTTTTAATCATCAAAATTTTCGCTATTTTATTTGGTAGCCATGATTACGCCAAAAAAAAGCGTTAAAAGCTCATCAGTTCAAACTAACGCAAATATAAAATTCCAAATAAATCTATTCAAAATACAATTTGAATTTCTATGTTTCTGTTTTAGTGAATTAAGACCTTTCCTTATTGCTTTGTGCCCACTACTCTCAAAGTAAATAAACAATACCAAAGCCCTCTTCAACCACCCTAAGCATCCATGCATACCTTCCAGCTGGTTCTGCATTTCGCTACAGCAACGCTTAGGTAGCTAGCTGGAACCAAGTAGACATTGCAATTAAGCGTATACAGTGAATAATTTCTTTTAATTCGCAGCTTTTCTACTAAAATGCAACTGCATACAGTATTATTTTGAGTTCCATAGCTTTGATATTTATTTTTAAGTTGCTGGATTCAATTATGTTTGCAAAATTATATTTTCTCTTAATCTCTTCTTAGATGAAGGAAGAATCAAAGACATTATTCGGTGTTACTTCTCCAATGGATTTGTTTGTAGGACATCGGATGATATCAACAGAGTAAACGATTTATGAAGAGGGACTGTGAAGAATTAATTTGCATGATATGGAATTCTCTACAATTTGGTTTAGACTAAACTTCTGTTAATGATATTTTACGATAATGCGATATTTCATATATAAAACCTGCTAGATAGGGTTTATTCGTTTTGTTAAGGCTGCGTTTTGTTAAAACTTCGATTTTTTTCTGTTCAGTTGTGTTGTGTTGTAATCATAAAATTTTGTCGTTATGAATGTCTGAAATTCTAAAAGATTTTCAACATTTTTTAAAATATTTTACCCACCCGTGTAATTAAGCAATACCGACACCAAAGGATATTCGCTATATCGGTAGATAAAACGTGTGTGCAACTGGAAAGGTGATTTATTTCAGGACGAACTATTTTTTTCAATAAGGCGATCAAAACACCCGTTGTTAACCTGTCAATATTCCTGTCATTTTGCAACTGTTTACGCATCGATATCTAAATAAATGTAAATGAAATATAAATTGTATTTAAATATTTAGAGCATTATAAAGTACCCTCTTATTAATAAGAACCACTCAATCTAAGTTCAGGCTGACTGCTCCTAATTTTTTCGAAAATCTGAGGCTGGATTGTTCTTAATTTGTTCTTAATCTAATTGGGTGTAAGCAGTGCTATTGCTAGCTTTTTCGCTCTAGGGTGGTGTTCAGGCCTCATTTGCCAACAAAGTGAGTGAGACAACCTTAATTTGCTGACAAATTTGAGTAATCACAGAAAAAGAGCCCACACATCGCTAAAAATCCTCGATTTTGAGAAAAAACGTTGTTCATAATTGCATTTTACAGAAGCTCAGTCTCAGCTTGTTCTTAATTTGTTCTTAACTTTTGACCAACGTCGAGGTTTGTGTTCTTATAAAATTGTTCTTATGAAATGAAGAGTGTAGTCAAATTTGTTATCCTTATTCTTTGATATTATACTTACAGTGAATTTTCACAGTGAACTCTTGTCTACAACGATGTTTCTTTTATATAGGTATGTAAATGATTTGGTATGGACGCCTCTGTTCCCTCATAATAATGTTATATGACACTAAGTTTTCTCATACAGAGTTGCGTAATAGACTCATCACCATTAAGCGACTGAACGAGGCTTTTGCGCGATATCCTATAATCACTTTCTTATCTGTGAATCAAAATGTAAATTTACAAATGCTGTTATTTCTACTTTAAGAATTAAGTAAAATATTATATTGATGATGGTGATCGGCGGATGACTAGAAATGTTTAGAAAGAATACAGAAAAAGGAAATTTTAATGTTTAATTGGAACATACGAACTCTTAGGCAGGTCTTTCAAATCTGTATAATTTGGACAAGACTTTTACAAGGAATATTTAATCCTAAAATGCCATTGATCAGCCGCTTTGGGGCGAAAGGGGTTGTTGGTCAGTGGGAGCAGAGCTTTTGTGCATTTTTGTTGCATTGAAGAACATTTCCTCAATTCTTTCTACCTCTTTTTCACCTTATTTCAGCAACAGCATTGGCTTGGCTGAGAAGGAATCGTAGATGTTATATAATGTAGAACTTGTGCCTTTGGTGTGGGGGGGGGGGAGGGTGGATACTCAAACGGGAGGGTCAATCCAGCAAATGATTTTGCTGAAAAAATGATCTCACGAGTGTCATATTGAACTTCATTAAATACTGTAACTTCTAAAGGATAAATTTTCAACTCTTCTACTAATTTCAATATATTTCACATTGAAATGTAAATAAAGTGCATTTCATGCAGCAATTCCATTGATCAGCAATCCATGGTTACCAAGAAGTATCATTATGTTTTTCATTTAGTTTTAGCACCCAAAAATATTAAACTTTACAAGACTTAGATCCCCAAATTATCAGATAGACTCATGAAGTAAAGTTTTCTGAAACCGAAGACTTTGCTCCAACCCTCCCATCTTGGAACTTTTGCTTAAAGTGCTAAATCCCACACACTTTCTCTAAAACCACTTCAAGCAGATATCAGCATTCCTCTTAATATTTTTACATGGTGGTCACCATCACCGGTTTGAAGCAGATTTCTGTAAAAGGGAGCCCTTAGTCGTGGAAATAAGACAACATCATTTGGTAAACTTTGTTGAAATATGTATCCGTACATGATAACTGTATGAATTTGGTTATCACAAAAATGTTTTGTCGGCACGTTTGGATAAATTTCTTTCATTTTTTGTGGATAGAGCGTATTCTTCAGAAAATTTGCCAATAAAATGAATCAATTTGGTTTTTAAAAGTACCGACGAACAGCGATTTAATCTCCTTTTGCAATGACGTAAGAAGGCAATATAGCCCTTTCTTTACATCTGTAGTTTGTATTCGTCAACTACGTTATTTTGATGTTTTTTAATGGAATGTGCTTTCATATCCCAGAGCTTACCCGGAAAGTTTTTATATTCCACATCAAAAGCAGCTCAATAAAACGGATGGGTACAGCGTGCTGTTAACCATGATAATCAAGATAAACCGGGGGTTAAGGTTAGCCACTAAAAATCTCCTATAAATACGTTGTGTAACCAGCGCATTGAAGCCAAACAAAATTTTCTATCTCAAGTCTCAAAGCAATTTTTTTGAGATTTTCATACATTTGTCTATGATTAGGATTTTTTTAAGTGTGGGAACACGTTAGCTACTTGTTAATGGTGAACAACCTTATGGTGAAGGGTAATCCAAAAATTTTTAAGCAATTATCCTGCAGTTGTCCTCTAGGTAGGTCCCTTTGCTGAGGATACCCAAAACGTCCCCTGATTTCCGAATTTCCCCTACGTTTGTAGCCCGATTCCCGACCATCGATTCCCGAATCCCACTCACAAAAATTTACCGATTCCCAATTCTCGACTCCAAAAATGACAATTCCCGCTTTGCCGAAAAACAAATCGGGTTCTATTCTTTGCTTGTGTCTCGACGTGTCTTCTAGTATCCTGTTCTTTCAGTCCAAATGCGACACATTTCACTTCAAATGTGAAACAAGAACAACAGCCACCACCCTTCTCCAATTCACGATATTATTAATATCCAAAACTGTAATTTAGCTTTTTCGGTATTTTGAAGAAAAAAACTAAGATTTTTGCACATTGGCTAATTGAAAGGATCAGACCGCCTTTTGGTCATTTTGTGTGGGATATCAACCAATTCTCAGTTTGATTTGCCAAAACTATTGCAGAGCAAGGCCTTATAATCCGGGTCATAACTTAATGTTCACAATGATGTAGGAGATGTTACCTTGTAATGGATTTATACCAATTGTGGGCATCAACAGACTCGAACTGAGATATGCAAAATTTTTGAACCGACAGGCGGTACTGCTTTTTCGTGCTTCTTTTTCGTACATACCCCCCTGTTCCGCCATGCAGCAAAAGAATACCAAGCGGTGCTTTTTGAAGTACATTGATATACCTCTGCTGTCAACTTCCCGGCGTATTATTTGCAGGTTTGCCCTGTTATTCATCGCTAATTATCCAAATTTCAAAAACTCTTTTTGTTAAGACAATTTTTCGAAAAAATTTATTAAAAGTGCAGAGCTGTAGAGTTTCGACACGCATCTTTGTTGAACCATGTTGTTGGCAAGATAGCCTCAGGTTACTGTTTTGAGCGTGAGTAATTTGTTTTAAATTACAATTTTTCGTATTAATACTCATTTTGGTGATTTTATTAACGTATTAATACTCATTTTAGTAACAATATTATTGGGAATCAAAACTAAAACAGGGAATCCAAAGCAAGTTTAAAAGTGGGGGACCAGCAAAGTTCAAGTTTCAACCTCATTACAAAAGACTGTGTCATTGAATTGAAAACCATAACAAGTTTCTACGAAGAAAATTGTAGTTTACTTACGAAGTACTTTCCTTTTGTTTTGCTATGGAACTTCGCCAGCCAAAGCCTACGATATTCTTGCGCGATAATGAAGGTGCTAAACCCCTCGCTAGTGAAAGATCGGAATACGAATTCACTTCGATCTGAAATTCAGACAATATGGCAGAATTTCTTATCCAAGCCCATGATTTTGTACAACATTTGAACCAAGACCACTTTCAATAACTTCTTTCAAATCTTTAAATGTATTTTCACACCTCTCGTCGCTTTGTTGGCTCTTTAGCTGATTTTCTTAGCATGTCTTTGAAATTGTGAAAAGAAAGACTTACGAAAGACACAGTATGCTTGAAGTTGTAGCACATCCTCTTCGGACATATTTCAATCAGTTCAGTGGAAACTGATTATGATTATACGGGTACACAGTAAAAGAAAAATGAGCTACAAAGCTAAATCTTTAATCAATTGTTTCATCAATTTAAACGGCGTATTCCAGAGGTTCATGGTATTTGCGATCTAAACGAGAATACAACTTCAGCTAAGTCTTCCAGCATAATAAAAAAAACTTTTTAAGAATAAAAAACGTTAAAATATGTAAACGATGTGAACAAACGACAAAAAAACGAGCTTTGAAAGTTGGACAAATTTTCTTTAGACTAGCTAATATCTATTCTAGTCTGAAAGCTTCTTTTAGATATTTTGCAATAGATAAAGTGTTGTCTGCGCCCTCATTTGCTATTATCAGTTGAAAAGTTTCAGTTTTGTTCTTTAGATTGTTAATTAGTTATGATGTTTGAAGCTCTTCTACTTGCCTTCTCTCCTGCTGATAACAATAGAAGGGCAATGTCATAAAGAAATAATCCATTCCCCCCTATTCTTGCTGAATTCCTTTCATTTCACATTTTTCAATTACCTGAAGACTTTTCTTTCCTAATCATGAATTCTCATGCCAAACTCTTCCGTCAAGTCTCTTGGTGCCTCAGTGGTGAGCAATAAATTCTTCTATACGGATACTCAACAGCAAATATATCAAGGCATGAAGCAGAAAAGTCGTTATAATCTCAAGTTTAATGGTCTAGAACGTAATTGATCAGAGTATGCTAACTTCTGTTCAGGTCTTGTTGCACTTAGGAACCGTTCAGTTCAACAAACTAGAACCTTTGTTTTGTCAAGGAAACCACACCACAGGCACGTTTTTCAGTATTAACAATTTTCTGATGTTATTCACTCTAAAGAAAGCTGGTGAAGTGGGCAGCCCATCTCTTGCCAATTTGTTAAGTCACGAAAAGCGTTGTTATGCAACTACAACGCAAAGATAAATCGAATTTCCTGATGTTTCGTTTTTCTTCTTCCTTTTCCTGTTTCATTCGCAATGTCTCTTCATTGGAATAATAGCCTTTGACGTATTTTAAAAAAATTATACGCCAAGTGATAAACAATAAGATGGAGAAATCCAATTTAGGGATTGAGGCAGCATCGGTTTTGCAGCTGGTAACAAACAGCTCTTAATTTAACAAAAACGTCATCAAAATAAAATTGAAAGACACGACATTGTGAATCTGTCACTCGATGATTGAATCGACTTTATCAAGTCTCTTTTCCGTGTCAGGTCATGTTCTATTTGCATGTGGGCTTGATAAACAAAACATTGTTGCTTTCCTCTCTCCTCAACTGTAATACACAAAACAACAGTTTTCTCCGGTAAGTTTTAAGATAACATTAAGCTTTTTTCATACGTGTGCTTCTTCTGGGCTACTGATATTTTGTATATCGTTTTTTACAGAGAAACGTCTACATAAAGTCTCGTTTTGATACTTGTCGCCATACTTCAATAGACTTCTATATCATTGCCATACTTTGCTTAGCTTGAATGTGAGACCGGTGTCGTCAGCCGTTAATCTTGCATCCAGCAAAACAACGCTTAATGCGATTTTTGCGAAACCTTCCTTATAATATCTCTAATCTGATCTTTGCTCGGTAATCTGGCATTTTCCAGGTTTAAGACATTTAATCGCTTTCTGTCGTCCATTTTATTGCCAATTGCAAGAGTGAAGTAATAGAAATGGAAAACATGGGCCTAGTCACTCCATTCTATGGACACCTTCAAAGCTGCCATGTGACCTCAGTCCTTTTCTTAGTTTTCCTATGATATTCAGTTTATAAGTCTTCTTTAACTCCACAATCAACAGAGCAAATGAAATCTTTAACAATTAATTAGAACAGGCATATGAATAACTGTTTGATTTATTTGTTTAATCACTTTCGTTTGACGAATCTTTCCAAAAACATAATGCATTTACTTTTTGTTATGCTGCTTTCCAATTCCAAAGTGTAACAAAGTTTCTCTTATTAAAAGTGCATTATATGTACATTCTTTTATTTTTCCGAAAACATTTAGAATAGCGTTTGCATATTTTTGCTGCATAAGTTTGCATTGAACCTCCTTCTGTTATATTTTCCAATACAGGAAATATATTATGAAAATAACTGTCTTTTAAACTCATTCGGCAACAGTTCGCTGTTTTTCAATTCAACTGTCTTTAGAGTTTTTATCCTATGTTCTTGCTTCCAAACAATAGGCTTTTCATGTTTAAGAACTAATAACAGTTGTAAGAACGTGTTCAAAGGCTTCAGATTGTCTGAGACAGCTCTGCTATGGTCGAGGAATGTTGCTGCTTCGAAAAAAGGTGTTTCTTGCTATCTACAGCTGAAAATATAGATGGTTATAAATCTCTGGAAAAGAAATAGTTCAGACTAAATGGTAGTATTGTGCATCCATACGGGAACTGGAGAGGATTCATTAGAAGATATAGCAAGCAATTTCAGCAGCTGTAAATTGTAATCTGACATCGCTATTTCTGTTGCTCAACATTAGATAGATACTGGTAAGTGTGATATACCAGTGACGACAGCTGAATCGATGATTGTTGAATCGATGATCGTTGATGCATCACGATCATTAAATATATATATAGACGTTAGCGTAAGGCAAAAGTCCGATTATCAATCTGAATAAAAACCAACAATTTTGACGAACCTGTCGAACAGAGCAAAACTGGTTTGTTGAACGAACATTATCAGAAGGTGTCCAAGTAGCTGGATCTAGTGTCAATTTTTTCTGCGACTTTATTTTATTTATTTCTATGGAGACTCTAGGCTATGCCTGTAAACTGCTGGGTCTGCAACAAACTAATAATGTTTTTAGTCTACGTATCTTCTCTGTCATCTTTGGGTCTACGTTTTTTTGGCCTGACTTGGACACTCCGTCTTGACTAAATCTTTGTTCTGAGACATCGCAATTATTGAAGAAATATAGTCGTATTGAAGCTTCCTATTTAACTGATTCCCTTGCACCCTCCACGCATTTATGTTGCTCCTATCGGTATTAATCCTGGCTTAAAAATCAGAAGGGACGCCTAATCGCTTAACCATTGCGATTTTACGCCAAGAAAATAATTTTTTTAGAATAACCTTTCTGCTGAGTAAAGTTATGGCAAAACATAGCTCTATTTTATGATAAAGGATATTTGTTGTCGTCGTTTACCCTCTTTAGCATTTTGTCAATCAGCAACGTATCAACGTAAACAAGAAAAAATTGATTTTAGTCGTGCTGCTGTATGATATTAAACATTGCCTCCTTGTTTCCTGGGTTCTTCCTATATATTTTGAAGTCAGAGAGCTCAAAGTTTAGTTTAGTCATACAGCTCTCGGTGGCTTTTGTGGCTAAAAGTTTAGTTTAGTATCGTAGGGACAAAGCTTCAGCAGAAATCGAATATAATAGTCTACTCTACTTAGTTGCATTGGAAAAAATTCCCTTGGATGGCGGAAATCATGAGGAATGAAAATGTAAAAGCCGTTCCTCGAATTTCGCATCTGGTACTTACGGTGACAAAATGTGTGAACTCTATTGAAACTTTTTTAGCTCAGCATAATCGAGTATAGACTTAAAATTAAGGGTGTCTTGCAAAGCTATGCCTACTCTTAGTTATTGCAAAACAAATGTCGTCGTACAAAATATTTTGTAATAAGTTTGTCACTTGCACTTGTGTCCCTACTACATTCTTTATTCCGCCGGACCCCTTGTCTTGGTTTTGCAAATTTGAGTGCCTGTGAGAAGCAGGAAAGAAGCCGGAATTGCAACGAAAAAACATGCTCTGACACTTCGTTTTGCAATTGTATTTTACGATAAATAGGATTTCTGTGGCCTGCAGAAGTGACACATGCACGATCAGAAAGCAATAGAGGGGGCACGACCTTGTTCATCACGCAAGATCCTAACTGTGTTTTTAGGCCAAGACTTAATTCTATGACGTTATCGTAATCCCATTTGCTTCGTAATCACTTGCTAAGATCATTTGCAGAGGTTTGCTCACTACTGCAAAGCAGGATTATTTCTGTCTCGTCGCACTCCAAACTCGGTGTGGTAAACAAGTTTTCTTTCAAGAATTGCACTTTTATAACAAACATCAAAGCTAGCAGTGTACAAGCAGTGACTGAGGGTTCGTTAATTCAACTATTTATATCTTAACCTTACTTTAAACCTATCTCTGACCCAACTTTGAATACTAAATCTAACTTCAAATACTTATCGGAACATACCACCTTACTCATACTGAAAAGAGCGGTAGATTTATGCCTCGCTTTAAACCTCGCCTTAATTGTTCTCCAAATAGTAGTATTCATATATCGCTTCTATTATGTGTTATTAATTTAACGAAAGCAAATTGCTAAAAAACACTTACTTTTATCAAAATATATACCACATCGTTATACTTTTCTCTGAAAATTTTCAATGTTATTATTTTGGCTTTTTCTTCCATATTTTGCTAGCAAATTTTCTGACATTAACTATAGCTATGACTTCCTTTCCTGGTTATTTCTTGAAACACTCAATCATGGCCTATCGAAGTCAATAGAACGTTAAAAAACAAGGAGATCCCAATCTTCCATTTGACTGTAAAAGTTAAGGAGTGACTATGGCTTGCCCAAATGCGATGAGCGTTATCTTAACAACACAAAGATTTTTTCATTTGCATTTTTACTAAATTAGGGTTTATTTCCCTTGCGTCAATTATATAATGATATCTAGAGATGCGTTCTTATCAGCATGCAAAGGGCACGAATTGGGTATCGCACAACTTTGCTTTGTTAAAGAGCACCTAGACATTGCATGGAAGATCAATCATGATGGCTAGGGACTTTTCATACAATCGTTCTTATTTCAAACTAGCAATGTCTTCTTTCAATTTAGATCACTTGGTACAGCGTCATCATAATGGTGTCGAATAACGATCAAGTCAGGATCGTTGTGCTTGGCCTTCAAGAAGTCGGCAAATCAGGTAATGTACGACCATTCCTGTTGAATTACGGAGACAAGATCCCCTGCTTTACATCCGATTCGCAGGTCAGCTACAGGCTTTACATCTTTTCTAATTAATGCGAAACCGTCAAAAAACTTAAAGTTCAGTTAGTTTTTTTCACTTACATTTGACTCTTCATTTCCTTACTCTTCTGCAAAGGTTAAATTCAACTGTTTTGTAAGAGTCCGACGATAGAATCCGCTTATCGGTTTAAAGGCTATACCGCAAAAGTCCATATAAAGCGGCTTTCAAACTTATCGGTTTCCCTGAAATAATAAAATGCTTTTATTTCCAGCGCTAACAGTGAGGTATTTAACAAGAAGATTTATAACTGAGTATGCAAATGGGATTGATTCAGCATACGTTCACAATATCGCAGTTCGTGGAAAATCAATTGATGTTAAAATCATAGATCATGGAGTCGAGGTGAGTTTGCTTCTTTAAACAAGCTACTTTATGATTTCGACAGGAAATGATGGCTTCAGATGTAAAAATATCTTCTTTAAACACATATTTTATCAGAAACTAGGCATAGGATAAGTTTTTTTAATTTTTTTGTTAATTACATAACATAACATAACATAACATGACATGACATGACATGACATGACATGACATGACATGACATGACATGACATGACATGACATGACATATGACATATGACATGACATGACATAACACTGGCATTAAACACCTAAAACTCATTTTTGCCCCATCTTTACAAAAAATTCCTGGCAGTTTTTTAAGATTTGAGTTATTAGTATTAAAATCTTATATTTTTTGTCATGTTAGGAGTCAGCTTCATACAGAAGTTTGGTGTAGAAAAATTCGTGTAAACTTTAAATCTCAATTTTGTTAGTAGTGTAATTCAAATGGATGGGGTGAATTTTCCCCTTTTGTCTTGTGTAGTGTGTTGCACTCCCTGTAAAGTTTTTTCATCATGATCGAAACTCCCATAACCGTTTTATGGTCCTGTATAAATAACTGTATCACAAACTTGCAATTCAATGTAAAAATGGCTAGTATCCGTTATAGTGTGAAAAACAAATAATGTGAAAATGTGTGAAGAAACAAACAAATAGTGTGAAAAATAAATAGGTTATAATCGTCTTTTCAGCGGGATCCTTCAGAACTCATAAGATGGGCAGATGGATTCATTTTGGTTTACTCGATAGCAAGCAGAGAAAGTTTGGAAGAGGCTAAATGTCTAAAAAAGAACATTGATGTTATAAAGGGACTTACGAATCGGTCGTGCTGTGTCCTTGTTGGCAATAAGGCGGACTTGAGACGGCAGCGGCAAGTTACCACTGGGGAGGCTATCAAAGTAGCTTACGATATTGGTTGCAGGTTCTTTGAAGTATCCGCTGCGGAGCAGATTGAGCAAGTACACGAAGTCTTTAAATACACAATTGCAAGAACGCTCGATCGCAAAGAACGGGCTGTCGTTGAAATGACACGGGTTATCAAACCTCATGGCGCTTTAGAAGGGGGCAAGCGCATTTTTGGCAAAAGACTAGGGATGAGGAATAAATCAAGAGACAGGACGAAAACTTTATAGCTACGAATGGTCAATGTCTTTGTTGATGTTCAATGCAATATGCAAGCTGGCAGTTCATGTCTAAGGGCCAGAGACGGAATCATGGTGCCCAGTGGACTGGGCGCATGAACGTCTGCACCGTATCTCACTCTGGAAATACCTTTGCGTCCGAAAACGAGTCTACGACTTGTCGACATTTTCTAGATTATTTTCAGACGATGACATGGCATTTTCATCTTTTTTTATTTTGGAGAGAAAAGATCTTCCAAAAACAATGACAATAAGGAATCAAATAACAAATCGAACATGCTGTACAAAAGTAGAATACATTACATTTCGAAAAGAAAACATTTGGATTTTAATACCGATCTTTTATTGTTTATTTGTTCATATCTTGCATAGCCTGATTCTAGTCTAAGACTGGAAAACCAAATCATGAAATATGTTGTGCTTGAATGATATGTACAGGGAAAGAGGCGGTCATACGGTCGTAAATAGCAAGGAAAGTCATTTAAAATAACTTCAGCTATATTCAAGAATATTCAAAAAGAGCAAAACTGTTGTTAACACACACAATTTATTATTTTATTATATTTTTGTGTATTCTGTTGAAGAATTTTAGCAAAAAGAATTTCCTCACCTCATTTCTTTTTGTTTAATCATAATTTTCATTAATAATTTTCATAGTTTTCATTATTCTTGAAATAAACAATCGCTTATTTCTTACACATGAGCAATCAAAAAATTACTTCGAAGAATATAAATGTTTAGAATAGAAATGTGAGATTTGAAAGTGGTATCAAAAATGCACTCAAGTTCTGTTTGACAGTAAAGCCATACAATCTTAGACAAGGTTGTTAATAATCTTCTTATGACAAAGGTGAATATTTTACCTCGAAAAAAATCACATAAGAGAAATCAAGTTACATCAAGCAAAGAAAATTGTCGTGATAATAGCATAAATTGATTCCTCGCTACTATATTAAGATGAAAGATGGCTCTTCTGCTAGACCTAGAAGGATATGAAAACTAAACTGAGTCCACAAAGAAAGACTAGTGTAAAAGACTAGAATACAAAAACATTGAAATACTCAGTCAAAGAAGCTCAGTCAAATACACAGAGTGGAAACATCTATTTAATAGAGTTCCTCAATTTAATGTATAATAAAAATCGGCTGGAGTTTGTTCAATTTGATGAAAAGTTTGGTCGCGCTGGAAAAAATCTATCTTTTCAAGCAAACAGAGTATGCCAAGTTTCATTGGTGTTGGTGTAAGGTGAGATTTCTAATGATACTCAAATGCATCGATCATAAAGTAGAATCCTAGGTGTAATTTTGAAACCAGATTTTGTAAAAAATAAAACAATTTAAATAGAGATGCTAAGCTCCTTCCAAGTTAAAAAACATTTTGCAGCTTGGATTTGGCTGCACTAATTAGAAAATGATATTTTATAAAATCATCTTGCATTTGTCTTGCTTTGTCTTCAAAATGGAACATATCACATTGTCAACAAACAAGTATAAGCATTTTGCACCAAAAAATCTTACCGCAGAGATTTCCTCCATACTTGATTCGCAGGTACCCATCCTCCCCAAAGTCAGGACCCCAAGAATTTCTGGCGATCCAGTATGGTACTGGGCCCGACAAATCGTATCCAACAAGTTGTACAGCATGGTTTATCGTTTTGTTGGTGCAGTGTCGTTGGATTATACCACCTGTTCAAAAAAAGAAGGATTGTAGTTAATCGCAGTTAACAACACCCTTGTCATGGCTTTTGGCACTAAAAGGTTTTTACCTGTATAAATATTTCTATTAGTATTATTATTATCATCTGATTTTGATAACCCATCGTAACATTGACTTGCGTTACCCTAATGTAACCTTTTTTTATCTAATTCTTTAAACATAGTAAGTGGTAGTCGGCTTAGAATATGCTTTACTGCAGAAAACATTATACTTACAGAACATGTACCAGAAAGCCAATTTAGTAAACATCCACTTAAAAGAACCAACAACTTTGCTTTATAGTCTGAATACGTTCTCACGTAATGGTTGAATAGACAATGAGGCTCTTAAATTTACCTCCATTATAGTCTAAAGTTAGCATTTAGAGTTTTGCATTCAGAGAATTTCTTTGGCATTCAGAGTTTTGAGTGTTGGAAATAATGAGAGTTGGATTAAACTGCATATGCTCCAACATCTTCAAATGCAATTCAATATACACTAAACTACACATTATGCACAATACACTAAACTTGACAAAATCTCCTATGCACACTAAATAAGAACTATGTTTCCAATCTTGTTTATTTTGCTAATAAATAGATTGATAGAGTTTTTGATGTAAGATCGCTCACTTTTTATTTTTGAATGACTGCAAATAATCAAAACCTTATTCAAAATTCAGCTACAAGGTTAATAATTGATTAGATGGGTGGGTGTCTACTATATATTATACGGCTTTAAAACCGGTTTTGTTGTGTCCACCAGGAATTAGGCCCAATGTTTTGCTTGACCTGTTAATGTTTGCTTGTTAATGTTTGCTTGTAGACATAAATTAGAATGAAAAATCAGTTTTAGTGAGGTTGTTCTCTAAATTCCTAGTTTTCAGAACCATTCGACACTTAATTGCGCAAAAGTATGAAATTAATGGAATAGGCTTTAAGAAAGCTCAATTCTTTGTGGTGGCGGCGAAAAGTTATAAGCAACAGTGAGAGAGAAAGGTATAAAAATAAATTGGATGCAGCTTGCCTCTTAGGCCTCATGTAGTTTACTGTGAAAAGATTTTCTATTGATCTTGTGCAGAATGGTCAAGTGAAGAAGCTTTCCATTTGCTCAATAACATCGTCTTCCTTACGATTCTGATTTACGATTCTTACGATTCACAAGTCTAAGAATTCGCAAATATTCTCTTTTAAATACAACATGATGTACGAGAAACGACAAGGCCACTGTAAGATTGTGTTCTGATACCACAAAAAGATAAATAAAACAAAATTTAACAACGCACCTACATAATCATGCCATAACACTGAATTCACATTGACAGCAAGGGGTCCCTTCTGAGCAACCACCTGAACCATGGCAAGTTCATTATTCACCATACTTGTGCATCCACACACACCTGATATAGTTGCACCTTCCATACTCCTGTAGATATAGCGCTTCCTTATTATTCTATAAGCATTAACACTGAATGCGATAAAGCATCTATTGTGTATCAAAAACAACAAAAGAGCAAGGTTAAAACAAAAATATAGTTTGACCTCTCAATAATTTTTAGATTTGGTTGATACTTTTCTGCTAAACTAAGGGCTCGTTACAGCTTTACATGGAGCATGGTTGACGTTATATGGCAATGTTACATCAACACTAGCGGTAATGAAGGGAGAGAGGATCCTTACGGCTAAACCATCAACCCTTTGCTCTCTAACTAAAATCTCCAAAATTGCTATAGAAATTCCTGAAAACCCTATGAAAAAATGGTATTGAGAACGATGCCCATGGGTGGGTTTTTGTAATGCTCAAGATTAATAAATGTATTTCGACATCCAACAAAATCACAGTGTTCCCCTAATTCTGCAGTGCAGTCCGTCTTGCAGCATAACATAAAACCTTGCTTACGTCTTTTGGTATTTGCATGCAGTTTCCTTCGCTTCGTAAGGGTATTCGGATGCCGACACAAGATGGTACCTCGACTAAAAGAATAAAAAAAGTCAAGATGCAAAAATGTAAAACTCGAGTGTAGGATGAGAATAATTTGTCTTTCAAGATATCCCAATATTCCCGAGTACATGATTCATTGTTTAGCAATGAAACAACAATGTTACCCTGTCTTATATTTAGCATAAACCTGTTGAAATGGACAGTTCCAAAGCTTGCCTGTAGGTACGGCATATCTTCACCTTGACTGATAGGAACAAGAAGACAGGAAGGCTAGTGGTGCATTAAGTGTTTTGCAAGAGAGACTGGAACTTGTTATGCGAACATATAAATCAAGTATAACTTCTTGTAGAGAGTTCTATCGCTGTGAAACCCGCTATAGTTCCTCTTCGTGCATATAACTTATTCCTGTTGTTATTGGAACTTTATAGTTAAACTTAACTTCTTGGCTACTATTTAACTTAAAACGAATACAAACTGGCAAATAAGCTTCAAATAGAAAATAGAAACCTATTATCGACTGACCCCATTGTATGTGGCCGAGGCCAGCCATGCAAGAACCTCACACGTGTTGCCGCCATTGCATCCAAGTGAAGGTGCACATGAAATGAATTCTTGCACACTCAAGTCTTCCAGAGCTTTATCAGTTATTGCTGAAAACGTCTCTGTTTGTTCGGTGGCAACAAAAGCCCTTAAATGATAAGAAGGTTGTCTGATTTAGAAAGGAGAAACGTGTAGAGATAAAGTAATGGGGAAAATACAAAGCTTACACTCAGAGTATGCATAATTGATATCTAAACCAATAGGCGTCCTCTTCGCCCATTTCTATACAATACCTTACCCTTCGCCCATTACTAAACAGTTCAATACAATGAGTATATGAAAAGACGAGCTTGATTTTACGAATAACTGAAAAAATACCGAATTTGCATGCTTTAGCGCATCGAATATGCATGCTTTGGCGAGGCAAAACTGACTTTGTTTTTCGTGAATGGCAATCTTTAACACGATTGTGAATCGTAACACTGTTTTATGCCTATTTGGAGAGTGGTGGGGGAGAGGTTATTTGATTTTCTACACACAAATTGTGTCGAATGCAAAACAAGTTCCATGCTGATATCTACGATGTTGTCCTTAATTTTGCATCTTCTGTATAATGATGAAAAATCCGATCTTGCGTGTACAAAAAGAAATTGCTTTCTCGTTAGGACTCTCAGCAACACAGATGCTAGAAAACATCGACAAAACAAAAGAAAACTTAAAAAGTTTATCATTGAGTATCCAAAGAATGGATATACATTGAATTAATTACTTAAACTAACAACTAAAAAATAAGAAGTGAAACTGTAAATAAATTTTATCCTGGGTTACGCTCTTTGTCACAAATTGTAGAATCTTTGCAAGTGGCAGTAAGTCGCATATGTACAATAAATGATGCACTACTTTCAATAGGCTTTTCCAATTCAAATTAAATTCAAACGATGCTTTGTTATCATATGGAATCTTTTTCAAATGAAGAGGTTCGATTTTCAAACTCATTCTTCACATCTCGAAATTCTTAGACTATTGCAATGAGAAAGAACAGAAAAGCTTAACAATAAATAAATGGCCTAGTAACAGCACAAAATAATATTAAGCACTTACCAACAACTGCCACACTGCAACGAGAAAAGCAAATTGAATTTTTCTATAGTGTTCACATTCAATACGAGTTAACATAAGTGTAGAATTAATTCAAAGCTTTTTTCAAACCAAATTTTAATATTTGTTTCCTTTAAAAAAAACGAACAATTGCCCTTGCAAAAGAACCTGACAGATCTTTTTCCGGTAAGAATGACATTCTATCAATTATTTTTCAATCTTTTCGATAAAAATTTAACTAAACAAAATATTAAAAAGAAAGTCATGACGCAGAGTCAGCAAGATTTTTAATTTACATGCTGATTTTTGTTGCATCAAACAGTCTAAAAATCATAAATTGCCGGACTTTCTCCAATGAAGTTTTAAATCTAGCTTTTTGTAGTTTAATTTTTAAAACAATTCTCAAACGAAATAAAATAAACGTGTAACTTCCGAACATACACGCAATAACAATCACACTTCATGCTCACACTGAAAACAATAACACTCATAAACAACAACACACAATAGTCCTTAAGGTTGCACAGCAAACAATGTCCACAAAGACAACCAGCAACAATACAGAACTCACAAACGAGAATAAAACAATGGGCTGGCTCTCCATGCACAAAACACTATTTTCTTGTTGCTATGTTCAGCTGTTCAACTGTCAGGTGCTGCTGTTTTTGTTCTGTTACTTGGAAAAAACTTGCTTCAGAAGTATCTTTGTCTACTGCAACATTTTGTGGTATGAGATGATAGGACCTCAATTGTTAAAATTAATGGCATCAAAATTGTGAAACTCTGAAGAAAAACCTTTAAAAGACTGAAGTACCTGATAGCAACCACTGCTTCTTAAAGAATAAATTTCTGTAGTTAGCAAAGGACCCTAACTTTAATATAAAAACTCACATTTCCTTGGTTTTTTATTTCGGTTGTTTTCCTTTCCTTCCTCCTAGCAAAATAACGTTTTTATTAAAAATTAAAAGTACTTTCTTTTGGTATTAGTTGAATAATCAACAAATCTAAGACTCCATTGTTTGAAAATAAAGTTCTTCTGTACATATCACAAAGATCAAACAAGCTTTATAAAAGTTTTATTACTTCAATGCTACTGAATTGAATAATTATCAAAAAAGCTTCATATGCAGTGAAGGCTGAAATTAGTTTGGCACTTCAAGAAAAACAATTGATAGGGAATGCAGCAGAGTGTGTTAAGATTTTTATGTTATACCAGTCGGCTGTCTCTGGTGGTGTAACAGATTTATATGTACAATCCCCATTTTCTTTGGCACTTTCCTCCTGTATAGCTTGAAACATTTGACTGTTTGGAACTGCATCAACTGTTTTGCGCATTTGATGACTTCTTAAAAGGCCTGAAATAAAACACAATAACCACTTAATCAATTTATTTTGAATGAAAACCCCATAAGGATAATTTTTACCATTAAAATGGATAACTGGGCATGACTGAGTCCAACCTTGAACTTTGTAAGCTGCCTCCGGGAGAAAGTCATATGGTCATATTCTCTGAAGCCCCTCATTAAACAGTTGTTTTATGTTTATTGTTGAATAAATATGCTAAGAAATTGATAAGAATAATGGAAAATGTTATTTTTGTAAAGTTTGAAATCATTATGCCATTTGTATGCAACAATGGTTGGTTAATTGAACACAATAACAGTCATAGGTAGCTTTTTATGCTTGGCCTTCTTTATGTCACAACTGATTTACTAAAAGAGAATAATGGAAAAACATTTTGAGAATATGTAAAAGATATGTATTTGGATAAAGTTAATTAAAAAAGCATCATGATTGAATTAACATTAACACTAAATATAGAAAAGGGAAAGGGAAACATTGAGCCTCACCAAATACAAGAAAAGAATCTTGCAGAAGCCCAGAGAAGCATAGAAGAAACAAAACACTACATCACTAGAAAGGACAAAATCAGAAATGAAGTAATAAGACAGAAAGTAAAACTAAAAGATATTATTGAAAGAGCAAGAAAAATGAAAGAACAACAATTGATAAACAAAAATATATAGATTGGACAACATGAAAAGGAAAACAAACAATATGAAGACCTGGGAGATGGTGGAAAATTTTATTGTGAATAGTAAATGCAAGTGAAAAACTGTTTCTCAGCTGACTAATAGTAGTTTACAACAGAAAGTTTGACATTACCTCTGAATTCCCCTTCTGACCAATCAGAGAATTTATTAATTCCAAATACAGCCTTTGTCTTGTACTTTTCTTCTTCTACATTCAGTGATGCTTGCCTTATGAGGCCATTCTTATTAAAACAATGAAGATTCTCATTAGAAGATAATTCTCCTTGTTTGCAGTAAATTCATTCTAAGAAAAATATAGTCGAAAAATAACAAGGTTGAATTAAGAACATAATCATGACATATATATATTTTATTTGTGCAGTGAAATGTACTGATAACAATTGAACTATGAAATCTGTGAATGTCTTACTCAGACTAGGCATTATTGCATTGTTTACCTTGATGGGCCTGCAGCATCTAATCACTTTCAAAACTTGATGGACCTGTCAACTTTAACAGCCTAGATAGTCCCATTTCAACTATTTTGAAGTAAAATAAACATAATTTTTATGAATCTTTGTCAAAGGGATGCATGCTTCCACAAAAATATGAGAGTTTGAGGGCAATTATTTTGGGAATATCAGAAGCACTATACCAACAACTGCCAAACTGCAACAAGAAAAGCAAGTTGAATTTTGCTATAGTGTTCACAATCAATACAAGTTAACATAAGTGTAGAATTAATTCAAAGCTTTTGTCAAACCAACTTTCAATATTTGTTTCCTTTAAAATAAAAGCAAACATTTGCTCTTGCAAAAGAACCAGCTTCAACTACAGGCCACAACTTGACAGATCTTTTCCTCATAAGAATGACATTCTATCAATTATTTTTTTATCTTTTCGATAAAAATTTGAGCAAACCAAATATCAAGAAGAAAATCATGACAAAAATAAAGAGTCAGCAAGATTTTTAATTTACTTGCTGATTTTTGTTGCATAATACAGTCTAAAAATCATAAGTTGTCGTTTTCTATAATATCACTATTCTTATAACCTAAATCTCAATTGAAATTCTGATCCTAGTCTGTACAATTCTAAGCAAGTTTGCAATGTTTGAAGTCAACTGCAGAGCAAATTGCAAAAGCAAAGAAAAACAAGTTTCATCAAAAATGGTAATCTTGCACTTGAAATTCTCTGAGAATTAACAACCTTACAACAAAATTACTCTTAAATGTGACAAAATCATCATCAAAAAGCTACAAGGTCCTAAAATGAGCATAGCTACAAGCTGTGTTCTAAGGGTTAACCTTGTCCAGCAAAGCCCCATGTCACTGAAATATCCATGTCTCTTTTTCTACATATCAAAGCTCATTTTGGAAGATAATTAGGCAATAATGGAGTATTTTTACCAATATCCTGACTGCACTGAGGAAAATTATGTAGTTTTTTTGTAAATGACCAGGTGTATACAAAATCTGTATAAACTGGGACCATGGCTCATTTATTGCCAAGTTCTTTCCCTCGTTTTGCTACATTATAGAACTTGAGAAATATTATCCAAACATACCTTTACTTTACATGGTTTTATTTATAAACTTAAAGGTTTTATTTATAAACATTATAAAAAAAGGTAGAATGAGTTTTTATTGAACATGACCCTGAAGAAAATGTCTTTGTCCTGGCTTGGTGGCTCACAAGTCTTCAATCATGGTGAAGGAAGGTCTTTGAAAGAGGAAACTATGAAAAACATACTAACAAGGGGAGAGGGTTCAGAGATAATTGAAAAAAGGATTTCAATGTTAAACATCTTGCCTTGAATATTGCTTGCCTCTTTACATATTCCGATTCATCATCAATGTAGGGCCTTTCAAAAAGAAGAACAAATCGTTTAAACAGGCTGCTCAATGTGACCTCATTGAGTCTCCTGTTTCTGCTCAATTCGTGAAAGTTTATCTTCCAGGCATCCTGGCGGAGTTGAGACAGCGCAGTTCTCCAACTTTTGGTCTCATATTTTCCAAGAAGTGCTGTATGCCATTTACTTTCTGAACCACCCAACAGAGATAAAATACCCAATGCGCAAAGAATGGCAGTTTGGCGAACAAACATCTAGAATTTTTGTTTTGAATCCCTACTTTCGATTTTGCTCCACTTCGCTTTATCTGAGGTCAGTGCTCTGCGTGCGCTGACTGGGCCTGTTTCTTATCTTCAGCCTACTCGCGAACGCGAATCTGAATCTGATTCTGAATCTGATTCTGCAGACACGGAAGTAATTTCATGACCATAGGGTGTTGGTGACGTCACCAAAACATATCACAATAAAAGGTTAAAACATAGTCAATAGAAAAAACTCTGGTCTGGAAGTCTTTTGTTCTAACTCTTTGTTCGTGTTTATTGAAATCACGTGACCTAAGTAAGGGGACGCGTGAAAACAAGTGTGTAGGATTGTTGTTGAGTTTTGAATGTTTCACGAGAGTATTGGTAATTTTACAATCTATTCTGTGCTGATATTATTAAAACTATGGTCAGCTCATATTGTGCAGTTCAGGGATGGGGCATTTCTGTCACCACTCTTACTCGGAAGTAAGATTTCTTAGAACTTCGCGACACAATTGACAATATTTTTTTGGCTTGGATAAACGGTATAGAAAGAATAACACGACTGTAAACAATTATTTTAAGCGTCACATTGAATCTGGAGATGTTTTTAGTTGCGAGAACATCGGCGTGGGGAAAAATTGGATGGGTTATTTGCAGCCCCCCTATCTCAGACAAAACTGTCACATTTCCGACTCCACTCGGACAGTTCTATCTCAATGAAGAAACGATTTTCAGGGAAGATCCATGCTCAGCCCCCCTGAACGTCGAACATCCGCTACGCGCCTGGCGAAAACCATTACCAATTTAGAAATTTAAGAAATTTTCAATGCTCTGTTTCTCCAAAAGTCACATTTTGTAGTATGTTCAAGCGAAATGAGGACCTCAATTATTGCAATCTTAAATGTCCTGTCTAGACCTGATAAGAGTTTTGAAACAAAAATACGAGCCTTCGTGGAACATTGATGAAGTCGAGAACGTTGCTGATACAGATATGGTTGAAGTTCGAAGAGCCAAAATAGGGTGTGATCAAAAAACTTATGAAAGAATTTTCAGAGGAATACACAAAGGACAAACAACAGGGCGCCCTCGCCATCATCATTTTGGACCAAGGACCGAGATAGCGGGGGGCCAGGAGCCTTGCCCCCCAAAAACTTAATAGCATAAGTAAAATACTTTTATTTTCTAAAATTTGGCTGTTGCTACACTTATTAATCAGGGCTTCACAACCCCTTCCCCCTATCCCAAAAAAGTAAACAAAATGTTGTATCTCGGTCTCTGTTTGGACAGAACAAAAGTATTCAACGTAGAAACATTGGTTGAAAAGTTGATAGATGAAAAAACAATAGAGCAATCAGATTCGACTTTTTTGCATCCACATTTAATCAGCTATCATCTGTTTTAGGGTGTGAAAAATGTTTTTTGAAAGTTAGTTTTTTTAATCGCGAAGACAGACTTTGAAACGCAGAAACTTTGTCAAAAGCCCAAATGTCATTGTTTTTGACACTCATGGGTCGCCTGTGTGCGCTGGGACTCACAAAACTATCTGCATCTGCTATTGCGAGAGAAGAAAATGTTCTATCTTGTCCCCTTACTTAGGTCACGTGATTAGAATAAAAGTGTTTTCAAGTTCTAGATGAGAACAAAAGAACAGAACAATGGGCTTCCAGACCAGAGTTGTCTCTATTGACTATGGTTAAAATGAAACCTATTCAAAGATGAATAAACCCAGAAACTGTTTGAAGGAAATTAAGACCTGAAGGTAACGAAGGAAATGTTAATAAGAACGACACGAATGACGAAATAAAAAATGAAAAATGGTAACTAATTTTCGTGCTAAAAATATGAAATTTTTATAGCATTGATATAAAAAGACCGACACATATTGATTGAATACAATTTTTTTATAATTATTGTCAAAAGATACACAAGGGCGGGACGCCTTCATAAGATTCGATATTCATAAAAAATCATAAATGATTATCGAGTAATACTGAAATAATATTGTGTGTTAGATAGCCAGCATATACAGGGGCGGTCTGGCCCGGGTGGCAAAGTGGCAATCGCCACCCGGGCCCTGCGTAAAATTTCGAGCGCGTAAACAGAATCTCAAGCAGAGAAGCGAATGAGCGTACTCTTATTTTCTATTTCCGCTCTTTTTAATTTATGTGGCTCTGGTACCCAGGGTATCTGACCTGGAATGGACAAAAATTGATTGATTAAAAACATCCATGTTTTAGTTATGAGTTGTTTTTAAAATTGATTTAAATCTCAGAGACAGTGCTGTGGGAACAAAATCCATATAAGGAGAGGTGGCGGCTGCTCATTGCATCTATTTCCACTTAGTACACTGTTATACAGGACATAAAGCTTAGGCTGCAATTATTGGGAGGGGGCTTCAATAAGTGAAAATAGTTTAATATTCAGAAAAAGAAATAAGAGAAGAGTCATCATAAGGAGTCAAGATAAGGAGTCATCATTACCATCTGGTTACATCCTTAAACACAGATGAGAGGAGACTGATAGAGGTTTTTCGAAGAATAGAGAGCAAATTAAGGACAATCCACCCTTGGTTTTCTGCGAAAATTAAGAACAGTCAGCCTGAACCTAAATTTACATTTTGGTACACGATTGTTTGTATATACATATGCCGATGTATCGATGTCACAATTTCAATGTATATCTCGACACACTGGCAGAATAACCACAATATATATATGCACAAAATAACTATACCCACATTTTGGTACACGATTGTTTGTATATACATATGTCGATGTATCAATGCCACAATTTCAATGTATATCTATACTATACACACAGTCTGAATAACCCAAATATCTTTATGCACACCGCTCTTGTACTGATATATGAGTACGCAATTATTTGTACATGCATATATTTATGTCACAATTACACTTTCTTTGCCTAACCAAGTCCCTCCATTGACACTGTGAGCTCGTAGTATATTCTTGTTGAATACGTTATATATGTATACCTCTATGGCGAGGCTACATGAATAAACTGGATACACATGAACGTGGACATCGCGTTCTTTTCTAACCAACACCACGATACAATGATACACCATTGCTGGCATCATCCCTGGGCGCAGGGGTGAGGGGGCACCCAGTTGTAAAGGAGCATACTGATCATAAGCCCCGAAATGCTCTACCTGGTGGATTGGCTGATGAGCTAGCAAAGACTCGAAATTATAAAAGACAACATGTATACGTGTTTGTATATGTTATATATATAGCAGTATAGTATATCTATACTGACACGCGCCCCTTTCAAGTTTGGCACCCTATTCTAACAACAAATTGGATCCAAGATCTCCTATAGACACAAGATTTTGTGAGTGGGCCTGATGTGATCTGGCTGAGGTTGGTATTACACTGTTTTTTCTTAGTTTTGACAAGCACTGTGCTTGTCCTTTTTTATGGTTTCAAACAAACACAACAAAAATGATACAACTGCCTCTCCATTTAGGGGGAAATCGAGTTGAGAACCTGAATCTGTTCGAAACCCCAACATTTACAAGTATCTTGATAACGTACACTCAAACATTTTAAACCTATACACACAAAACTACTATAACCCTCTAAATACACCCTTTTTTATAAGAACAATTTTATAAGAACATGAGTCTCAAAATGGGTCAAAATTTAAAAACAAATTAAGAACAAGCTGAGGCTGAGCTACTGTAAAATGAAATTTTGAACAACGTTTTATCTCAAAAACGAGGATTTTCAGCCATGTGTGGGTGCTTTTTCGGTGAATATTAAAACATGGCAGCAAATTAAGTTTGTCTCTACGCACTTTGTTGGCAAAAAAGGCCTGAACACCTCCCCAGAACGAAAAGCTAGAAATCGCACTGCTTATACCCTATAAATTTAAGAACAAATTAAGAACAATCCAGCCTCAGATTTTCGGAAAAATTAAGAACAATCAGCCTGAACTCAAATTTACTGGTTCGTATAAAAAAAGAGTGTATTTCAAAAGAGGAGCACGAGGCCATTCGTAGCCTAAAACAAATAGACAATATTTCAATAAAAAGAGCCGACAAAAGAGGCAAAATTGTACTATGGCCTAAAGACAAAGGTATTCTATTTGTTACCAAAAATTCACAAGGAGGGCTCTCTCGTCATATCTTGTCATATCTTAGACCGATAGTCGAAGAAAGTGCCTCATATATAAAAGACACCACTCATTTTTACAACAAATATTCGAAATACACACTAGCATTCCACCAAACTCGTGGCTGGTCACGCTAGACGTCAAATCTCTATACACCAACATCCCCCAGGACGAGGGTATCGAGGCATGCCTCGAGGCCATCCGGAATTATTATGGGGACACCCCACCAATGCATACAAGTTACATCAAACAAATGATGGTATTCATACTTAAACACAACTATTTTACCTTTAATGGTAGATTTTATCAACAAATTCAAGGCACTGCAATGGGGAGCCCCTTCGCTCCCAACTATGCCAACATATTTATGATAACTATAGAACAACATATTTTACACAATGCCCCAATGGCGTACTCCAATGTTTTGGAAAAGATTCATCGACGATATAATTTTCATTTGGCCACACACCCTTGAAGACCTACAAAATTTTATACAATACACAAACACCGTCCACAAAACAATAAAGTTTGAAGCAAATTATTCCAATACAAATATACACTTCTTGAATACAACAATAAACTTACACAAGGAGGGGGGAATTACCACCTCACTCTACCAAAAACCAACAGACACTTGCAATCTCTTACACGGTGATTCTTTCCACCCATGGAGCTGTTTGTAAAACTGGGGTAACCAAGGAAAAACTTGAAACTTCATTGCCTATGAACTATCTATTTCCCTACGTGAGCGTTAATTATATGTCAAATTTGGTTTTCCTTGATAATAAAGCTTCTATCTCGTGGCATATGATTTTTTGGTGCCTTATATGGGCGGAGCAATGAAGTTGAGCCCGGGGGGACTAAGAATCAAGGTTAGTGATATAGGAGGACCCACCATGGTTGGGTCCGACGTGAAGAAAATTTTTGAAATTATACCTTGTAATAGGGCTAAAAAGCATCTTTCAGACTAAAATTTAGCAAAAAAATACTGCTAAAAACTGATTATTGTTTATTGGGAAAAATAGGGAGGGGCATGTCATGCTAAAACTCTAGTGATAGACTCTAGTGACGCCGTGCCTGTCATGAAAATAATTTACAACTTAAATTAATTTATATGGACTCAACCTTGCCCTCATAAACATATGCATCAATCATTGCATCCATTGGCTATGACTTTCGGTAAGACATGCTTTCGCTTTGCAAATAACGGAGCTTTTCCTTACATACCTGTTCCATTCTCTAAAATGCAATGTCAGGAAGGTAGGTTCATAACAAATATAATATTTCCATTTCAAAATTCCTAAACGTCCCTTTACGAACTTCAGAGGTGACATTTCTGCGTGGCAACAAAGCTCTTCTTGGCGCCCTGCGAAATCTTCGATTGCCCTGCGAAATCGACTATTTTTTAGATTGGGGGGGGGGGGTGTCTCAGCTTTTAGATCATTACAGAGATCGTAGATATCTTCGGCAGAACAGGTGACACTGGTATCGTCCGCATACATGTTTGAGGTGCATTTTTTGAGGCACTGCTCAAAATCATTGACATACAGGATGAAGGGAGCGGCCCCAAGCACGATCCCTGGGGGATACCGCAGTGAACAGTTTTTAAGCTTGATCTAACCGCAGTGAACAGTTTTTAAGCTTGATCTATGGCCATTTATTTGACAGTATTGTCTTCTGCCGGTTAAATACGATGTGAACCATCGAAGAGATGTGCTTAAAAGCTGTCCAATCTTCATTTCCTAATCAAACCAAACCGACAAATTCATCAAGAAATTTGTTGCTCGAATTTTTGAACATGCTCAAACATTTTTCGGCAACATTTGTTGCTCAGCTCTATGTTGTCCAGTTTGGCCACATTGTCGGGCAACAATTCACCTTAATTTCCCATTGTTGTATTGCAAAAAATGTGAACAATTTTTTTTGCGGTACAGAATTTGAAAAATGGCTTTGAAAAAAGCAAACATTTTACAATATACTAAAAGCTTCTCACACTCCTCAGAGCATAAATCTTCTCACAAAGCTGAGGATCGTCTGACACTCCTCAGAGCATAAAACGTCAGAATCAGGGTCCGAAAGAACACGATAAAAAATTTACACCAAGTTGTGGATCGAAATAGGCCAATCAGAAAAACGCAAGCACAAGACCGGTATAGTTGACCAATCAGTGCCGCGAGCCTAAAGAAAAATTACCACTGGAGTCCAAGAGAGAAAACGAACTCTTTCTGTCTACACAATGGCGGCTTTTTCGTTTGTATGTAGATCGACTCAAAAACTGCTAGATGGAAGGACGACCGGGCTCTGCCAATTATCCGAAACATGTCGTCATTATAGAGTTTTGCACAATCTGGGTTGTCTAAAAGATTGGGGGATAGGATAAAACAGCATGTTCCTTCCAACATAAGAAACAAAACTGCCCCTCAAAGAGAACAGCCTCCTCGATCTTGTAGGTTTAGAAACACTGTTAAAACAAGTGATTCTGCCATCGGTCAACATCTTTTGACATCGGTCAGTTAAAACAAGTGATTCTGCCATCGGACGACATTGACCCTTGGCCCACTTTTCTTTAGCGTAGTCATGGCACCCCCTTCCAAGACAAAGTAGGCGATTACTAATAGGAGTCGGGATAATACCGACAATGAACTACGCAAATTCTTCTTTGCACTGATGTAAAGAACCATACAAAGGGTGGAAGAAGTTTTGTAATGCCAGGGCCAACACAATATCATTGAAACAAAGGATTTCAATCAATATAAAGTGTAAAGCGAGGAAATGAGCAAGAGCATCAGAACTGCATCGCTCTAAAGGAACAGGTATGTACAAGAACCTTGTCTAATCTTAGCCTACAATCTTTGCCAAAATTGCCTACTTTGTTGTTAACACAGTTATGGCCAGAGCCTTTTACAAACATTATTTAAGTTTTTATGGCCAGAGCCTTTTATAAACATTATTTACGTTTTTAAGGTAAAAATATTAGAGCAAATAAAACGAGGTACAGATAAAGTAATAGAACTTATTTTATCTAGATTAAGGGTAATAATCTGAAAGTCACAGAATATAATTCGCGAAATTCTTCTCATGAAATTTTCATTCCTTTTGCGTTTAAAAATTCGTATTTTGGAATTGATAAGTACCAAGTATGGACCATTTTTCGGAAAAATCACATCAACAGAAAAGTCTCAGAAATAAAAAAAACCATATAATAAATTAAAGGCTCTTGTGCAACCGGCATGCAGGCCTTCCCGGGAAAGGCGTGCGATCGCACTCGCACATGCTAGTACACGCCTCCCCACACCGAGGAGTGCTATTAACCGCACGCCTATTTTTGTAATCATTCGTTCGTTTTTTAACCAAAGCGCTGGAAACTAAGAAGGTGACAAAAAAACAAGAAATTGTTTTGTGTTTTTTATTTTGATGTGTTTCAACGGTCCTGTCCACCGTCCTGGGTCACCGTAATCATTTTGAAGGGCTGTTGTGACGACACTTGAATGCAATCAAAAACTTACTCGCATTTTTATCATAGACCTGTGTTAGCATGCACATGATTCTAAAATGCCTTTTTCAATTGGTAAATTAAGTTGAATTTTCAAAAAGATTTGTACCGTATTTCTTCTGCTCTATACTCGTAAATTTGGTGTCTTCAGCAAGGAATGTAAAGGGGTCCACGACAATAAGCAATATGCAACAAAGATTTGGAGCAAGTTGTATGCAAAGAAATATCAGATCGTCACGCATCCATCATTCTAAGGAGCTGCTGTTTTTTTGAAAGCCTTTGCCAATGGCCCCTTGCTTGAAAGCTCGCTTTCTGTACGCTTTTGGTTTTATGCCAGTGAATTCAGGATCCAGTTCCTACCACAAGCTGGGAGCAGTGGAGCGCGAGGCAACGCTAAACAACCCTCCCCAGAAGGGCTTGCGCAATATGGCATAATTGTCCAACGATTATGTCCCGTTCTTCCACAAATTATTCAATGTTGTATCGTTTTCATATGAAAGCGGAAACATTTGGAAAACGGCAGGTTATGACAAAGGCATGAAATTTCAAAGAGTTTTTGGGTCCAATGATTTGGAATTCTCGTCCAAATGAAATAAAATCACCCAAAAATGCAAGGCAATTGAAAGTTCTTAGCTCTAAAAGATTGTTATTTCGAAAACCAATGCGCCTGTAGCGCTTGCAGTCAATGACTTCCATAATGCAATCATTTAAATTGCTTCATGTTAGTGTTTATTAGTGTTCACACTATTGTCAAACCAACAGTAAACAAGGTATTATTATAATATCATTATTACACGTGGAGACATCTGCAATAGATGTGTCCCATTAATGGTCTGTGACTCCTCGGAAAATCATCTTTACAAACCAAAAAAAATAAAACATACTATTTTTCATCTCGCGGGCCACAAAAGTTCTTTTCCCGGGTCGGAAGTCTGGCCCGCGGGCCGTAGGTTCACCACCCCTGGTCTTGCACATTTGTTGCAGGTTATGTGATCTGAATAAAGAACTATATGAAGTAGATGTGCAACGTCATCACCTTGGGCTTTATTCCTTCTGGTGACAAGGGGCTAGTACCCAGATGATGACGTCATAAAAATAGAATCTTCATCAAAGCAACTACATACATAACATTTAAACAAATAAATGACATATCAAACATATCATAAACGACATATCAAATAGTGTTTCTTTGTAACATATCAAACAAACAAAGCAGCTATTAAACAAGAACAGAATAAAATAACTTCAAAAATTGTGTAGCCACCTATGAATATAATTAATAGAGGAATGATGCAATGTCCATGATCAAAACCTGGGCAACTTTTTCATAACTTTTTTAGCAATGCACTTATGTTTCTAAGCTCTTGCTGTGGCTCAGAGTAGATTTTTTCAATCTTTACACTCAAATACCTTTTTTCTCGATACATTCTTTTATACATACTTTTATAGGGTTTATGTAGTTTCTACTTTCCTTTTTACGTTGAGCAGGACGCACATTGATAACAGCAGTAACGTTGAAGTGTTTAATCCTGTGTAGAAATTCGCATTATTTTTATTATTTTTACTATTATTATAAATTGTCATTATTTTGCAAACTTATTTTATCTGAACAGGCGTTTTCTTTTATGAAGCTGAACAAGTCAACTCAAAGTCTAATTGACGAACATTACATGACATTTTTTAACGATAACTACCAGTTTAATGCGTGATGTAAAAAAACTTTCTGCACACAGAAAATGTAACATTTTGTATAGATAATGTTTTTTCTTACAAATTTTGATTTAACTTTTCATACAATTTTCGATGTAATTCATTTACGGTTAGCTACAAAATTCGCCGATACATTACGTAATTGGCCCGACTATGACGCAAGGTTTTGTCCGTGGCCCAACCCAAAACTTAAGTTGGACACCCATGATTTGTATGTATCCTTACCCTTTTAGGCAAAAAAAAGACTGAAAGATGCTCTACTACGTTGCATTTTTACTTTTGGCTGCTGCCATTATCCACAATAGTGAAGGTGGAAAAATAGCAAAATGGCAGGGCAAAATCATTGGTGTTGGTATGAACAACCATCTTTATATGAGACAGAGCACTTCTAGGCATCACCGATGGATTCCACTTCCTCATGGCTGCTGCGTTACTCAAATTCATGTTTTGAGTAATGGCCACATTCTTGGCGTTGGAACGAACAGGTGATGTCACTTATGCCCTGTTCAAACGCTTTGACTTACTCTCCCCCCCCTCCCCCCCCTTAACGCCATGCTTGGCTGCCCACCGATGTTTAGAACTCAGCGACATAGGTAATAAAAATAACTGATAGGCATTCTGTTTCATGCTAAGTAATTTCTTCTTTTATCTTAATTTTCTTTGTTCAAAGTAACTCTTTTAAAAAGTTTTTAGTACTGTACTTGTCTTGAGCTTAGTTTTTATAACAGCGCGTTTTATACCTGGTACCCTACCCTCGTTGGTAATTCAGTCGTGTTTAAGTTTCCGTGGAGTTCAGTAAGATATTGGTTGATTCTAATTCCTCTAGCTGCTCTAGCCGTTTAAGAAGGTTATACGCACCGTATGGAAATAAGACGAAATACACATTCACATCTTTGAAACTCAAGATCGAATCTAATTACCTATGAATCATAATTAATGATCTATAATTTTGTCCAACAGACATCTTTACATAAAAAGAAATCTTTACGGAGGGTGGGCACATGTTCCAAATTCATGCTGCGTGAAAGATGTAACAACATTTAGGTCAGAAAGCTGCGAGAGAAGAAGCATTGTTGGTGTTGGTATGGGTGGCAAACTCTACTCAAAGAGTACTCTCAACAGCCGTTGGGTTGGTCCATATGCCCATTCCGGTGTTGTCAAGGCAGTGGCGGGCGTGACTGGTAGGATCTACGGTGTTGGTATGGACAACTTTATATACCGAAGAGAGGATCTCAATGGCCGATGGAGCCGAATTCCTGGTTCTTGCTGTGTCAAAGACATCTCTGTCCAAGATGATTTTTTCAAGCATTTCACTTACGGTAAGCTGTCTCTACATTTTGGCGCAACAGTCGTCACAGCTTCTGCGAGAGGCTAAACTGACATCCCTGGTACCGAATGTTTTGACAAGAAAGGCTGTGCATTACAGGGCCGGTGAAACGTATTTGAAGGGGGGGGGGGGGGGTGCAAAATATCAAAGTCTTGAAAGGGCTTAGGAAAGGCCTTTAATTAGGAAGGTTTTAGGAAGAAAAATTTTAGAATCATGGTTTCTTAGGGATAGCCAGAAACTGTATCTAAAATTAATTTTGACTGAAGGTGTCGCATAGTCGCGTCTATTGTGATGTTGACTTGAAAAAGATAAGTTTTGCAAAGTTTTAGAATAACCACTATCATATAGCTCGTAACGAAGCCCTTTTTTAGATTTTAAAAGTACCCGAAATAAGATGGGGGAGAGAAATAAATGAAACACAGATTAATAAAAAACATTAACGTTGAAATATTAACAGAAGAACTATCTACTAAAAATAAAAAGTTAAGCAATTTTGTACAGTTAAGATATAACTTTGTAACATCTGATCTTAACATTTTCGAAAATTAAGTGCCTTAACAAAAGTTTGAAAAACCTTCAAACTGGGCTTGTCAAAATGAATTTAAATAGAATTTATAATTGCGTCGATATTTTCTCTTTCTTAGAAAGAATGGATTATCCAAACAATCAAACTCTGAAGTTTTCTTGATGATACTTTTTAAGAACAAATCTGCCCATACTTTATTTCTCATATCCTCAAAAAGTTCTTTCCAGCAGCTGTTTCTTTTTCTTCAACAGCTCATTTATATTTCTCTCTTTTTGTAATGTTTTTGAGAAAGTTGTCGTTAACAATTAGACCTTGTGTGCCAGGTTTAGGCAATGGAAAAATGAAACTCCGTCAATTTGTGCTGGCACCAAGTTATTCTGGACTAGGTTTTCTCGATCTATTTGCTAAGCCAAGCTCTTACTCGTTGTAAAACTTAGACAATGACCGATTTCTTCGATCTAATTCCCATCTTCAATTTTATGTATGTCTTCTATGGTAAAGACATAGCAACCAAGGTAAAGCTAAGGACACATTTAAGAGAATACCAGGCAAAGTTACTTACAGAATCATATTCATATGCTACATTTATTTCCACTTTTGCCTAAAATGTTTTTAGCTCATTATTATGTTCTTCGCGAACTCTCGTTCGTAAATATCACAAAATCAAAAGTCAAATATCACAAATAACGGCCTGTCCTAAAATAGCCGGAGAAACCAGACCAAAAAAGCTTTTGCGAGCCTCTTGGAATATACGGCTAGCATCCTTTCAACTTTAGCTACAGCCGTAATCATGTCCAGTGGCATCTCCCTCAACTCTATATTTACAAGTGATCTAGACAACACGCATTTAAAATTGGGGGCGTGTTTATGGATAAACGTTATGCAGTTTGACTGCTCATGATGAATATCGCTTTCATGGTGTGTACGAAATGAAATTAAATGAAATAAGAAAAGTCTCTATAAAAAAGTAAATGACCTAAAAGTGGTTACATCACAGTTTTAATCTGAAGTCTGAAGTATGGGCTTGTACCTGTTCCGTAAATTTAGTTTTTAGTCTACTACTTCCACCAAGATTTGCTACTACTAAATTTGCTACTACTAAATCGTTTTACGCAGTCAAGCGAATTCGTTGAGAAAGGGGCCTGAAAATTAGATGAAGTTTACGGGTATCCCAAAAGTTTCTTATGGCAACACTTTTAGACTAGCACAGCCACGCCCAGGGCCGTCGCTAAGCACTTTCACTTAGGGGGGTGTGTAAAATAACGTTTTTTTTAAACCAAGGTTCTTCAATAGTGAAAGTATAAGAAAGTATAAATTAGCAACAACCAACGATTACAACATAACGACTTCTTTCAACGACAACTTCGACTCGACTGGACTTGCACTCAAAGAACATACGCTTTTAACAACATGAGTGACGCACACAAAACCCTAATGACACAAATTAACGGCAAATGGACTAATAACAACTAAAATAGAGATGGCACGATGACAAACAAAATGGACCGACGCAAACATCGAAAGACATCCTCATTAACGATAACGAACCACAAACACGATGCACGACAGACAAAACAAGTTGTATAACATTACTCCCCCCTTTGAAAGACAAGCCTCCTGGCTTGATCTCTCGAAGGGGAAGAAACATAAAAGTATTATAAGGCAGCACGAAGAATCAAATCAAATAATTTTACTGAAATGAGTAAATCAAGTACCATCTAAGAAATAGTGTCCCTGTCCAAGTTTATTCCGTCCATACGGTTCTCTACCCGAGGCTATAACATCATTATGTACACGTAAAGGTCCTTCTCTTCTTTTAGTGTCAATCAAATTTTTTTCATATGTTGTGGCTAATAAACCCTCGTCAACTTCCATTGGTTTTGAAGAAAGCAGTCGCGTCACCATTGGTCGTGATAGTTTATGTGACTCCAATTCATTGACAATCTCCTCCAATTTCTTAACTCGAGTTTGAAGATCTTGAAAGTGTGGCTCATTTCTTTTGATGTTGCCAATAAAGGTAACCCGAGGTCGCTCTTCAGCTACCGAGGCAACAATCACAGGTTCATTTTGATCACACTTCTCCTGGGATGCTAAAGAAAATTTCCTGTCCCTACAATATTTGGCAACGTGACCAACGCGCAAACAACAATAGCAAATGGGCTGGCCATCTTCAGCCCGATAGACATTAGTTCGATTCACGAAGAAATTTCTCCCATTCTCCTCTGCCAACCTCACCCTTTCGGCCATGTGAGATACAACGGTCTTCATAATATCCAACAGAATTTCTCTGAATTGTTCTGTTGAAATCATTTCCATTTTTTTCTGCGAATTTGTCACGTCGTGGTCACCAATGTGAAATAACGTTTTTTTTTTTAAACCAAGGTTCTTCAATAGTGAAAGTATAAATTAGCAACAACCAACGATTACAACATAACGACTTCATTCAACGACAACTTCGACTCGACTGGACTTGCACTCAAAGAACATACGCTTTTAACAACATGAGTGACGCACACAAAACCCTAATGACACAAATTAACGGCAAATGACTAATAACAACTAAAATAGAGATGGCACGATGACAAACAAAATGGACCGACGCAAACATCGAAAGACATTCTCATTAACAATAACGAACCACAAACATGATACACGACAGACAAAACTAGTTGTATAACATATTCCCAGTATCGTATGGAAGCTATGTGCCAAATTGCAGCTTTTTATTATTTTTGTCCGGGTAAAATCGTAATTCCACCACACTATATTTGCAATGTCAGTCAAGTAAAGGGAACAGAAGAGAAGAGCTGA